GTGAATGTACCAACAACGTGATTTCCTATAAGACTCCGTGATAAACGCGTAAAAATGAAAATGCTGAAAACTCTTCTCTCACGCTCTGAAAGTTAACAAAAATTTAACTGAGTAATTTTTGGACAAATATCTACTAATATATCGAGTTTCATAATTAACTGAACCGTAATTCGCTAACCGAGAGTACTACCTTAATCGTTTAATATTGTTTATAATACTACCTGATTCAAAATGTTTCTCCTATTTGCAACCTTAATGTTGAAACATGAACCTACTATGATACAAAAGAGAATTTTGAGAGCAACAATTCTCTTGTGACATCTAAACGCATATCCACTTTTATACTGAATTACCATTTATAAATGTCTATCCAATTACATATAAATTAAGAATATAGGAATATGTTTCATATATAGATTTTATTGTACTTACAGCACATATATTGCCGCATAACAATTTAAGTAATATTAAAAAATAAATGCAAAATGATTATGAAGTTATAAGTTCGTCAATGTGATTTCTTTTTGCTGTCAAAACTGCTATTTGGTAAAGTATCTGTATTATATTTACAATAAAATTTTCGTTCATGGAACATGTTTCCATATTCTTAATTTATATACAGAGTGTTCCCTAATTACCGAATGTCCCGTAGAGGGTAGATAGACTGGGGCAAACTGAATAGAAAAGTCCTATAACATTTTGCAAAATTCGCAATAGTTATCGAGAAATTAATTTTAATATCTGAGCGAATGAGAAGGCGGCAGGCCGGACGGTGGGACATCTGATAGCGAGAGGTGGAGCGATGCGCCTGTCACGCAGTGAGCGGCGAGCTTCAGTATACACTCACCGCTCGCTCCTCACCGCTCACCCCTCGCCCCGCGTCGTTCACCGCCCCATCGTTGCCTGCCGAGTCCAGCCTGCCACCTTCTACGCTCTCATTCGCTCAGACATTAAAATTAATTTCTCGATAACTATTGCGAATTTTGCAAAATATTATAAGACTTTTCTATTCAGTTTGCCTCGGTCTATCTACCCTCTACGGGACATCCGGCAATTAGGGAACACCCTGTATAATTGGTTAGACATTTGTTAAATGACAATTCTAGAAGTATTGAAAAGTGAATATTAGATATCACGAGGAATTCATATGGCATGGCCATCTTTAGGTTGTTTCTCTGGTATCTACCAGTTAGGTGTCAATCTCTTTTAATATGTACATGAGTACTAGAAAATTTAAATTAAGTATTAAAATAAGCTTACATTTAAATGTTAAGATAAAAATAGAAGAAAAATTTTGGTTTGTATAGTATAACGAATTTTATTAAATCTTTGATTAATGGAGATATGTAAATATAACTCAATAATTTAATTTTATAGACAAGAAATAAAAGGAATAGTTGAAACAGTTTAATAGAGTATTATGTAAACAACCATAAAAATTTTAATTAAAAAGTAGTTTTTAAATTGCATAACTTGTAAAGATTTTTATCTGTTTGTTATCTTAAAGTATAAGAAATAATTTCTATTTATATTTACAAATTAGATGCATACATCTTGTCTTTTAAAGGAATCCTTTTCTTCTTTTGAAGTGTAGTATCGTCAAGTCTTGAAAGAGAAATTTTTACTTCCTTCATGTTTTTAATAGAGACATGATTGTTAACTCCTTCTTTTTCTGAAATTCACATTATAACACTTAGTTTCTTATTTTATTGTATATTTAATCACACATAATACTATGTCTTTGTAGAATATTACTTATATATTATGCACGTAATAATATCATAAAGAGTAGATGGTATGATCATATAATAAAAAGATTGTATTAAAATAATAATTTAATAATTTCAATATTTATGTTATAATTAGCAATCAACAGAAAAAATTAATACTTTTTTCAACAAGTCTTGAAAAGTACAAAACTGACTTGAATAATCTCATGACCTTAGTTCAATCTGATTTTAATTGGAAGAATACATCTGACTTTTGAAACCATCTAACTTTTTAACCATAAATTTTCATTTTCTTGATACTTTACAGATGTATTACTTAACATCATAATAACAATGTTGCTATGAAGGTGGAAAGTTACATAATTGCAGCTGTAACATTAGAAAATAAATACACAACATACAAGACCAGAATACATAGTACAACTAATATGAAGGTGATTCTACTCTTCAGAATAAATCAAAATAATTAAGTAATTGGTTAAGCAACTTTTTCTTATTAGACTTATTTTAAAAAAATGACTTTAAAAGTGTATAAAGTATACATACTCTTGACTGAAATTCAGTATATCGAATCATGACGAAATATGAATGGGCAATGAGAGCGATAACGCGGTTGTTAATGCGTGCATTGTTTAATCTACTATATAGTCCAAGTTACATCTTTATTATAAATGGTATAAGTACGGACGAACGTTTTGACTCAGCTTTGAGTCATCAGTGCTTATAATATAATCTCAATTGTAGGGGCATGCGGTGCTTCGAGATTTGTCGGTCCGAAGCTCACCGTGTGCCCCTATAATTAAGATTATATTTTATAAATGCTGATGATAACTCAAAGCTGAGTCGAATCGTTCGCTCGTACACCATTTATAATAAAGATGTAACTTGGACTATATATTGGATTAAAAAACGCATGCACTAACAACCGCGTTATTCCTCTCATCGCCCACTCATATTTCTTCGTGATTTTATATTATCGAGAGTTGTACCTGTAACTTTTGAATCAGTATTTATTGAATTTTGGTACAAATTACTATGATTTCTTTTTATGAATTTCTTTTATATACGATTTTTATTACTTTTATGAACCTATCACAAGCTTCAAATAAATAAAATAAATAGTCATTTTGATATTTAAAAAGTTAGAGATAAAATAAATGTTGAAAGCAATTTATCATAACATTACAGAACTACTTCGTATGAAAACAACAAAACATTTTCAATAATACATGTAATTGAACTAAAGAATAAATATTAAAAAAAATTGTTTATCTTAAAAGTCAATTGATAGTTAAGGTTAATTTTGACAGATTATTAGTTTTGATTAATAAGATATCTTGCATCGTATAAAAGAAATCATAACAGCGAAAATTTGTATGTATAATGAAATTCAATACACAGAGTGTTAGTTAAGTGTACGAATACTTCGTAAGATTTCAAAATCTTTTTTTTAGAATAAAACATTCAAAAATTTCAATCGGAAAAATTATTTAATCAAATTTTAACACTTATAAAATAAATAGTTAATGACACAACTATTAACGCAACACCCCACGTAAAAACGACACAAATCAACACAAATTTTATTTCATTTCTGTTGCTCATTGGACATTAAACAAAGATATTAAATAAAAAATGATGCTTATACTAAGTGTGTCATTGAATGGAATATATGTGTAAATATATGCATGAATATATGTGTATGTGTATGTAGACATATATGTGTACGTATATATATACATATATATGTATGTTTAAATAAACAATATTTACCTGTCGCTCTATTTGTTGTTATTATTGGCTCTTGGATAATTGTTTCTATTAATAAATTATCAACATAAATGCAATCGTCTTCACATTCTGAAAAAAGTAAAATTATAAAATTAAAAACAATTATCAGATAAAATTTTAACATATCTATTACAATTCAAGAAAAATGTTTATAATATATCAGATGTAAAAATACATAATTAGATACGAAAAGTTTTAATAAAATGAATTTTATATGATTACATGTAATAATATTTAAAATTTGACGCGATATGATTTAATTTTTATATAATTATGTTCGGCATGAACTTATCATATGAAAACAAATCTGGTCAAATATGATTATATATGTATGTACAATATGTACATATATACTCGTATAATCGCTATATGTATAATTCATATTATATATAATCATAAAATTCATCAAATGTTATTAAATCTTTTCATATCTAATTATGTATTGCTTCCTCATAGAGGAAGCTTTGTTTTTACATGTGACCATATTATACACATTTTTTTCTTGAGAATGTATATATATACACAAATAAAATTATTGTACCTTCATTTCTCCTTATTACTAAATTGTTGGCAGGCGCGCAGTCATCTTCTGCATATTCTAAGGAAAAGTCAATTATAGACACATTGTGATTATGCATCTTATATTTCAACATTTGTATTATATGTATATACATATAGTCAACATTTGTATATACATAGTTATAAATAAAATGTTATACCTCTAACTCTCTCTGTTACTATATTATTGGAATAAGAGCAATCTTCTTCCGCATATTCTAAAAAATAATTTATAGATATATAAAATATCACGAGACACGGTAGTGTCTCGCACTAACAATAAGTATAAGCGTAGTTAGAACCGCACGCGCGAGACCGACCGTATGTAGTTTACGCGAGTACACGAATACGCGAGTTGACAGACCCTCAGCTTTTGGGATCTCATTTTGTAAACATAGCCCTTGTGCCAGATCTCGGATCGAGATCTCAATCCGAGAATCGTGTGTTAATATTTGCAAGTTGATTGGCTACACTATTTCTCGGACTGACTCGGACCAAAATCTAACATCGTGGACATAAGTTTAATAATATCACACAAAACGGACAATCGGTCCTTTCGGGATTCTCTCTCGTAATAATAAAGTAAGTATACGAATGTGCAATGTATTTTTATAGTTCTGTTACGTTCAGCATAGCTAATCTTAAGTGTCGAAGTGCTCTTCCTCTTTTTATCTCTCATTCTTCTTTTGTTCACTTAAGAGAGCACTCCGACGTTCCAGATTTGCAATGCCGAACGCAGCTCTTGTCCGACACAAAAAATTATCTATATATATTACAGAATGTTATGGATAAGGTATCCATCTGCTCGTATACAGATAGAGCCGATTAAATTGGAAAGTTTAACTGAAATATACCATTTTGTTCGGAATAGTTATCGAGTAATTAATTTAAACTCTCGTTAAACGTCTGAATGAATAAGCGCGAGGAAAGCCGGACTCGGTAGGCATGTAAAGCGAAAGATGGAACAATGCGTGACATATGATACCGCGCCGGAAAAAATTGTCAAGCAGCGAGCAGTGAGTTTCAGACGATGAGACGTGTACACAATCGCTCGCAGCCTGACAATTTTTCGGCGACGTGCTATATGCCACGCATCGCTTCACTTCTCACTATCAGATGATGCTCACCGTTGCTAGAAGATCTAACAAATAAGCAATTTTACATGCCTATCGAGTCCCATGTACCGCTTTCCTCGCGCTTTATTTTTTCAGTTCATTGTTCACCTTAAAAATAACCTTTTTTAATAAAAAAAAAGGTTTAAAAAAGACGCCAAGTATAAGCGTCATCCAATCAAGAATTATATAATTTAATTATTTGGATATCTTTTATTAAAAAAAACATTTTTATCTTCTTTCCCTCCCCCAAAGTATTTTCTCTACAAAAGTAATGATATTATCAAATGGCGCCATTTGATGATATCATTACTTTTATAGAGAAGATACTTTGGAGGAGAGGAAGGAGATAAAAATGAGTGTAAAGGGTTCGGGAACGCTCCCTAAGAAAAACGCCTCGTAAAGCCCCAAGGGGATAAACAATAAACTCTATTCTATTCTATTCTAATAAAAGATATCCAAATAATTAAATTATATAATTCTTGATTGGATGACGCTTATACTTGGCGTCTTTTTTATTAAAAAGGTTATTTTTAGTATTCTTTACAACAAAAATCATAAGTGCATATATTATTTATATCAAAAGTTATAAACGTACCTTCAGATATTTTGTTTTCACATTCAGTTCGTACAAATATCTGTAAGAATTGCTGCAATGACATTCTTCCAGTAACTAAGTTTATCTGTGCTTGTTCAATTTTTCTGTTTTTATAAGAATGAAATTTTGTTTGTAATCGTTTTAAGGAGTGACCAAGCTGAAGACGTTCATAATTTAGCGTCTCATTAATTATAAGATTGCTGACTCCATCTATGGATATAAATATTTTTTATTTTATTTTATATTACTGAATAGTGTATCACTTATATTATCTGTATTATACAGGGTGCTACGCAAGACTTTGACTTCCGGTCATGGGAAGGTAGAGGGGACTAAGACAAACAGAAAAGTATTGTACTATTTTGCACTTGGACGAATAGTTATCGAGATACGAAATTTTAAAAATCGCCGTATTAGCCCAACCTACTGGCGAATGTAAGCGCGCGGCGAGATGCGTCGGCCTAGCGGCCCCGCGCGGGGAGACGTGCGAGCGGTCGCGTAAGCGGCGGACGGGCAGCGGCGCGCCTCGCCTCCCTACTCCTCGCCCCGCACCGCCATTCTATTCCTCGCCGCACACCGCCTCGAGCGGGGCCGCTAGGCCGACGCATCTCGCCGCA